TTGAAGAACATACTAGCCTATATTAGTTTTTTCAGTGATCAGTCACATATGATGTAGTCAAGTTCTTTAAGTGGGTGAGAGGCAAATTCCCTTGTGGAAACTATATCTAAGATCTTGCACTGAGAAAACATGAGTAATAGAAGTTTCTCCTTGCTTTCCAAGCTGTGAGCTCTCCATGTATTTCTTTCACTCATTCACCTGAACAATTATAGGAATAACATAAATTAACAAAATTTCTTATCAAATGAAGTTAGTGTCTTCCAAATGTGCTGAAATAGTTCTAGTATTTATCTTTTGTTTAGATTATTGCTCTTTCCTTTTTTGCTCCTTTGTTTCTTTACCATTCATATTGAGAACAGCCTAGCAGGTATCTTCTTTGATCTTTTCTATTCTTGAGGATTTCTTAGAATCTAGGGCTGGGTAGATAAAAATACAATCTCTTATTGAGAAGACTTCTCCTTCAACCCATATCTCATCCCAGTATCATCATTGCTAAGAAGAGAACATATGTCTTTAACACCAGTTTTATTTTTGTACCTTTTGGTCTATTATACTATTTGGTCATAGCCAGCACCTTATTGAAGCAATCTAAAAGGTAATCACATTTCCATTTCTTAGTTGGGAAAACTGAGGCCTATGAAGATGACATGCCATGTCCAAAATTAACCAATAACCAGGGTCATATCCATAGCTCCAATCTAGGATTTCTGACTTCAAGGATAACGACTCTTAACAATAGCTCTAACCCAAGTCTTTTCTTGTACATTAAGATAATCTTATCTCCCTTAGACTTGTCCTTACAAGTTTTTAAGTGGGTGTAACAAAATCTCAAATAGTCTTTTGGATGTTCCTCAGGAATACCGGGGCATGGTATTTCATCTTGATGCTCCAAATAAATGAAAACTGAAATTAAGTCAATGAAGGGCTACACTGGCTACATCTATCTACTTACACAAAGTCTTCTATCTCAGGCTCTTGGAGCTGAGCTCATTTCCTAAAAAAATAAAAGAAAGTTTCTGGGATATGAAAATTCAACTGGAGAAGATAGACTTTGTCAATGCCATTCCATCTGCCTCAGGTGTCCTGGCTGGGTAGAGCAGACTTCCCAAATGTGTCACCACATGTAAGGCAGCGAATCTGAAATGAGGCGTTCCCTTGTGCTAGAGGAAGATGGCGAGAAAGAGAGATCAGACTGCCTTGTGCTATCTCACTGTAAGCCAGTTCCCACTGGTATGTGAGCTCTTTTTCCTATATCTTAAGACCAAATATAAAGTTTTCAAAGGGTGCAGTCTAAACTATGTTTATGTTTGCCCAAGAATCCATCAGGGATTGCAAAGTTTAGTCATTCATTCATTCAACAAATATTTGTTGAAAATCTGTTAGGTTTTCCAGGAGAGAGAGAGAGAGAGAGAGAGAGAGAGAGAGTTGCAGTCTTCATAATACCCCTCCCAGGATCACCTATCTACTTACATGGAAGGCAGGCTGGCAGGGTGATCATTTGTCCTTGCAATTGACTTCAAACTCTTCACTACAACCTGCTTAGCACCTATCATAAAGCATCCAAAGCTACCAAGTAGATTGCTATAATGAAAACAAGAAGGCCAGTTTCTTTTATTGTTCTGTTGCTGCTGTCTTTGTTTTTCCTGGCTACGCATTTGTATTCCGTTCCTTACCCTGTTCTCTTCAATGCTTGGGGCAGAGGGAGTAGAGAAGGAGAGAGAATTCCCCAGACAAAGACTGGCAGATGGAGCTGTGGGGCCCCTGGGATACTAGTAGCAAAAGAAACTGAATAGCAGGGTCCAAGGATGTTATTTTTAAAAGGGACTTACGATAGCTTTGTCAGCAGAATCTTGGAGAAGAAAGGAGACATGCTCTCTCTCTCTCTCTTTCTCTCTTACTGTCTTCCTTTTTCCCTTCCTCCCTCCCTTTCTTTCTCCCTCTCCCTCTCTCTTCCTTTCATCTCCCTCTTTTTTAAATGCTCTCTCTTCTCTCTGTTTTGACTCTATTTTTGCTTACCTATATGTCTGTCATCCATCTGCCCATCTACCTATTTCCTTCCTATATTTGTCTCTCCCTCCCTCCATTCTCAGGTTCTGCTGATTAATTCTAAGCAGATTTATTGCTGTCTTAGTTGTCATAAGGAATAAACTGGTCTTCATAAGAATTCACCCGAAGACCATTTTTTTCTCTTGGCTGAAGAAATTAGTTAAATCACTTTAGAGGATAGATTTTTATATTATCTTATATACTTTCTATTTGTCTTCATATTGGAGAAGGGGACAGTTGGTGCCAAAGTCAGTCAACCTCATGATCAGCACTTATGTTTTCATCACACTATAAATACTGTATGTAGGGAAGAGCTTTCTGCTGAGTGTAACAGGCCAAGCTCCTACTTCTAACTCTGGTACCAACTCTCTCTGTGGCCCAGAAGCAGACACCATACTGCCTCCAGCTCTCAGTTTTCTATAACATAAAATGGGTAACAAAGTCGCCATTGTACTTGTCAACTCACATGATCACTGCAACAATACTGTGTAAATATCATTACCTTCTTCTTGTTTTTTTTTTGGATGAGGAAAGTGAAATTGAGAGAGATTAGATTATTTTAAGTCCTAAATAACTTACATGTGGCAGTGTCAGGATCTGAATCTAGCTTTGCCTCATATCAAAACCCTTGCTCCAGGCAGTCCCTTTACTGGATTTTAGAGAGTAAAGTCTGGATTTATATCTAGTTACTCTTGGATTGGGCCAAAGATTTATTGTATCTTAGTTGGCCATAGTCACTGAGAGGCCAGAGCTGCTGAGAAGTGCTGAGTTTGTCTTCTTTCTATGCTTGAAGTGCCCAGCATGCTACTGGTCACTGGACTTCTCAGCTGGCTCCCATCCATCCTGCAATAATTGAATTATAATGAATTGATTTATTCTGGCTCTTTTGATAGTATTTCACTATGTAAACTGTTTGCAGAAATAAACAAGGGATTTGGGAGCTTGGAAGGAGCTCAACATTTTGCTGCCTCTGAATTCAATGACTCCTTTTCAGATGGTCAGCATCATAGAAATTCAAGTCTTATTTCTCCTTGACCTGGGCTCTTTCTAGATGGAGAATGTTGTTTGAAAATATTTCAAGCAAGTACTGATTTCGCAAGCTGATTTAATTCAGCCACTTACGAAGAAATTGACCCTTAAAGAAAAGTATTTTTTCTCCTCGTGATGATTTTAGAATGTTCAAGGCACATTTATGTTCATTTCCTGTGCAAGTTCTGTGGTTATCCCAAGAGGTTGTCCTGGCTGGGACAATTACAGATAGGGAGACAGGCTAAGAAGCAAAGGTAGTTCTGCAGTTACAGAGCTTCTGAGGGACAAAAATCAAACCTGATTCCTTGGCCTTAAATTCAGTTTCCTGCCTACATCCCCACTGCATAATTATGGAGCTACTAGGTGAAGGGTGATCTGGATCAAGCGGTATCCTTAGGGTGATTGTACATTCTGATTGCCTGGGATGTTCAGATTTTCATGTGCCCATTGACTGGACGTAATTTCTGATATCACTGTCATCACTCCCAAAATGCTCTCCTTTGGATGATAAATTATTTGGTGACCCTAAGACACAGGATAGGGACAACCTTTCAAGTAGTTCAGAATCTTTCACAGGAACTGTTCCATGCAGACTGAATAGCACCAGAGTATGCCAAGTGTTAATTTGGACACTTAATAAAAGGGAGTATTTATCTTTGCTTAGAAACACTGGGAATAAAGCACAAAAGTGCTTGTATTAGAGTGGTTAAAAAATGGCAAGGTGATCTCTTTTGGATGGCCACATCCAGGTTTCTCCTTGTATTTTTTCTGTCTCCAAATACCAAGAAACATGCATAAGTCATACATGCTTAGAAGTCATCCTGTTGCTAGCTCAGTGTTCTGTGATACTTGTCCTTGTATCTATGTTAAATTCATTGCAGCCAGTGGCAGATTTAAACCATGTTAAGCAAAAAAAACCATTGCCGTGGTTTGAATACACAGGTGCTTGAAAATTTACTTGGTGTTTAACTGAAACTTCTGTGGTATTATTAGAGAAGCCTTTGGAAGTATTAGACAGGAAGCATTACTGAGACTTCCCCAGTATTCTAACTTCCTTCTCTGTTCTGAGTTTTAGACCATGGAAGGAAAGAGACCTAACAATAGAGCAATTTAGTTTCAGAGCTGGAACTGTAGCCATTCATTCTTTATTCAAAACCAAAATATTCTTTCAAGTTAAATAAACCCAGTTAGCAATTGTGAAGTTCAGTGGTATCAGAAAATTTACCCAGAACTTGGAAAGTGGAAGCCTGAGTTGGATTCCAAGATCTGAGTGTCTAGGGCAAGTTGCTGAAGAGGTGTGGGATCTTAGCTTCCTCATCTGGAAGAATAAGCTAGTAATTAAAATAATAATACCTTTCTCACAAGGTCATTGTGAGACTCACTTGGGGGTAATGAAAATGGAAGTATTTGTGAACTTTTCTTTGTGGAAGGGAAACAAACACACAAATGAAATTTGTCCTCTTAAGTGTACAGTATAATATTGTTATTTATGACCTCATTGGGTTTGAAACTCAGGCCTCGTGCTTGCTAGGCAAGCACTGTACCACTTGAGCCACACCTCCAAATGTGTTTAGTTATAAACACATTGTTGTGCAGCAAGTGTGTAGAATGTTTTCATCTTGCATAATTAAAGTCCATACCCATGTCACTTTCTGTTTCTCTAGGAAACAGAAACACCTTATATACTTCATGTAGGTGGAATCATAGTTTGTCTTCCTGTGATGGGCTTTTTTCACTTAGCACAGTGTCCTTTGAGTTTATCCATGTTGTTCGTACTTGTTCCTTCTTAAGGCTCAAGAATATTTTACTGTGACTAACCATAATGGGTTAGATACAGCCTATGATTTTAGTGAGCTGATGCTGATAGCCCAGGCCGAATAACAAATATTTATCTTTCTCTCTTGTTCTATGTCTACCTCCTGCAGATGAACCCAGCCGGTGCTATTTCCATGATGGGGATGGGGTATGCGAAGAGTTTGAACAAAAAACTAGTATTAAAGACTGTGGTGTCTACACGCCCCAAGGGTTCCTGGATCAGTGGGCCTCCAATGCTTCTGTATCCCATCAAGACCAGCAGTGCCCAGGCTGGGTTGTTATTGGACAGCCAGCAGCATCCCAGGTAAGATCCTAGCCACATGCAATACCTCCTGCAGACTGATTGTCTGCTGTGCTTCCCAATGTGTGTACCTCAAACACTATCGATGGATACCTGAGCATACCTTTAGCCAAATATAATGTCAGTGCTTCTTGAGTGCCATTTCTAAAGAATTAGATATGGAATGGCCAAGGTGAGGAAGCATCAACATAACAGGGATAATGACCATCCTCTTATGTCTTTACCTATCATAATTCATATGTGGGAAAGAACTCCATTTTGTCTATACCACTGAAATTCAATGTGACAGTGACAAATTAATTTTGGGAAGTCCTACTGTCTTGTTGGGGGGGGTGGGCGAAATAAATTAATGAATTTGCTGTGTCCTTGGGCTAGTCTCCCCATTTTTCTGGGCTCCATCCCCTCATCTTTAAACTAGAGAGCAGTTGAGCTTGATGATCTCCAAAGACCTTGACAATTCTAAGAAGCTGTAATTCATTCTTTGGTTTCCTAATGGACTATTTATGTGCTATGTTTCTCCCCCCTGCCCCAGGGGACTGACAGTTATTTGAGGGAGTGAGAGTTTTGGGGCCACCAGACCCCGGGTGATTCAAGGGATGGCTGTTCCATCCCTAGAGCCCCCTTTCCAATTATCCTGCTGAGCAAGCACCTGCTTTCTTCAGAGACTCCCATTTCCCAGAAACACGACTCAGTGTTTCTTAATGCCCAGCACAATTGACATTTCTAAGTCACAATTCCCAGACATTCCTCTCTAATCTTGCTTCCTGGCTTCAGGTTCTGGCCTGCCTTCTTGATAAAAGAGAAATATGACCTTCTGCCGAGGCTCAGTGAAGAATCATTGGATAGGGTACAAAATAAGATCACCTCATTTACAAGGTCTTGCATTATTTGATCATCTCTTTGCTTATGTTTACATCCTTAGAGTCTTTATTTATTCATTTGCATTTATTTCTGAAGCTCTGAGGTGAGTGGAAATAAATGGGAATATGGCATCTGCTGACACCTCTCATGTACAGTGCCCACCTGGGGAATGAATGAACGCGTACATGAAGGGATATTCAGATTCATCTTCTCCCCTTGCCACCTCTACTCTTGATGGCCTCATCTGTATTAAAGTATCTGTTTGTCCACCTGACTCCCCATTAGGTTATCAGTTCTTTGAGAATAGGTTTAAGCCTTATCCATCTTTTTACCCTTGTCTTCAAGCACAGGCTATAGATGAAAGTAGATGCTTAACAAATGTATGTTTTCTTGACTGTAAATACACACACCATATACACGCACACAAACAGACACAATGATACATGCAAACAACATTGAGAGGTGTTCAGCTATCACCTCCTTATCACATAGAACGTGCAGGGATTCCAAATGTAACAGTAGCATACAATTCCTAGAGATGTTTAAAGAACATCACTCACTTCAACAAGCAAATGATTAATGCACTTGAAACCTCACACGAGGAAGAGTTGAGGTAGCAGCTGTGTGTAAAATCACCCAAAGGTTATTGCTACTAATGTGAGCAAAAGGAGAGAAAGAATTTTCCAGTCTTAGCATTTGAAAAGAGGCTTCATGGGGCAATTATTCCACTCTTATAAGGAGAGGGCTGTCAGGAATTATGGGTGATTATCTCTTCCTAAACAAAAATCCAATTTTAAAAAATCATTATAAATACTAGCTCTTCGATCTACAAAGAGGAGATGAGGAAACAAAATCATCCTATTGAATTATTCATTGTAACCAATTTTATTTTAATGAAATCGACTAGGTTCCATTACTCTGCGTTTGGACATAATCTTTGTTACAAGGAGACTTCAGCTGTAACTAAATTTGCCATAATGAGATCAGCTCACTGGAGAATACAGGGCAGAGGAGGGGATACATGTGAGAGCTGGTGCAGGGCCAGGCAGACAGCAGCCTGGAAGGTGCAAAACAACAGTATCCTGAATTCCTCCTATGAAAGCAAATGCCTAGAAGTTATTTCCTATCCCCCACCATCATGCATACATGCACACACATGTACATGCACACAAAACACACATGCACACACAGGTACTACCTCACAGAAACCACAGCACCTATATAATTCAGAGGAAAGACTATTCCTGAAGTGAAATCATAGCTCCCTTCTGACAGCAGAGTGGAAGGAGGAAGTATGACCGTGACCTTCATTACATTGTACAGTGATGAAAGGAAACCAGTAGTTAATTTTCACCCTGTCAGGACCTCCAGTGAGGATGTTGATGGTGTGTAAGGCAGAACTGGGAGGCTCTTAGAAGTTGGACTTTAGAATAAAATGGAAAGGTGCGTCATGTGCCCTTCATCTTCCTCCAACACAATCATGCTCTCCTCTCTCTCCCCCACCCTTTCTACCTCTGCCTTTCCTTTCTTTCTCTCTCCCCTGTCTCTCTCTCTCACACATGTACATACACAAATTCATATATGAACAGACCCCATACGAGCTTGGGTGCAGAGAATGACCAAAGCAAATAGAGGAGAAAAGTAGGAAGGAGCTAGTACTTATTGAAGTCTATAAGGTCAACAAATTACTGTGCTGGAGACTTAAGCACACCTTATAGTCAAACCCCTTATCATTCTTCAAGGTAAGAATCATCTACCTTGGAGAAATTGCAAAGCACAGTGGTTTCTCCTGCAAGTCACATAGCTCTAAATTGGAAAATTTAGGATTAGAAGGATCTCAAGTGAGAGCTTGGGACTTTGAGGTCATATCCAAAAAGTGGAAGTAACCTCATTCTAGGAAACTTCACTGAGAAATAAGCAGAGAGGCCTGGATGGACAGATCTCAGTTCTGGGTGTCACCATGAAGCCTCTCTGAGGTGCTTGAATTAATCCTCCTGGAGCAGAGTCATAGTACCTGCTAGTATCTTCAAACCCAGGCAATTCCCACTTGATGACATACTGACCTTGTTCCATTGTCCTTGGTATTTACTAAGGTACTCCTTTTTGTTGGAAAATGATGACATGAGCACAACCATTCGCATTTCTTTCTTAAAAACTGGTTTGTTCCACTGTCTGTCTCTGATGTTGTAAAATGATAAATGCAGGTGTTTGTTGGTGGTATGTGCCAACCTCTATGCCATAACCTGTGAAAGAAAGCAAAGAAGTGTTAAGACCCAACCTCTGACCTGTCACTCTGTAAGATGTAGGTGTGACAATTCTATCCAGAGGCATAGTCCCGTCAGAGTAGGTCTGCAGCCTCTTCGCATGATTACTGAGAATAAACAGCACTCTTAGTGTTATATGAGTCCACAATGCTGACTAAATCTTCAGTTTTGGTATGGTATAAGCCTGCCAATTCTAATGATTTCTAGTCTCTCCCATCCATTCTTCTTGAACAAGATTGCCAAATTTGGTTAGAGTAAAGCTAACCTTGAATGCTGAGCCTCATATCCAAATGTTATCAGAAGTATACAAACTTCCTGGTTGTGCAAATTGGGCTGAACATCCTAAAATAAGAGACATTCTTTGAATATTTTGGCCATGCACCTTCTTGGCCCAGCTAGAATCAAGAAGTTCCTGAGAGAACATAAATGGAAATGAACTGAAAGTATCAAGTTATCTCTCTTCTGGGAACCTCAGAAATGGTTTGGTTTAAGTGCTAGCAAAGATCTTGTCTTGTTCTTATTTTGTCTCCATTTTTCACATTTCTCTAATGCTTTACACCAAAGGCTGCCAAAATATGATGTAGATATTCCTTCCTTCTGCTTTCACCCTAACATTTCACCAAAGCCTATTCCTCCTGTCCAAATAGGCACTCCCCTCATTTGTAATGACCTGAGCAGGAGGTGGAAATACTAAGAAGATGTGGAATTTACAGTGCTTTCCTAGGGATTACAGATCTTCAGTCAACCAATCAATTTATTTGGTTAATCCTTTGAGGGTAAAATTTAGACTTACAGTATTCTGAGGGCCAAAGTAAAGAAAATCTTTCTAAAAACGAAACCTAGCCACAGTGAAATGGAGTGTTGTGATATAGTCACCTGCCATCACGAGGCATTTAAGCTGGTCTGCTTATCCCATTGAGAGGCCTGCATTAGGAAACAGGTTGGACCTATCATCTGTTCCTTCTTCCTAACTGATTCTGTCTTAACCTTCCATTAACTCATTATTGAGTGTATTAGTTCTTTGTCACATCATTTTGAGTTGCTATTAGCTATTCCTTGATGTATCCATAATATTTTGTGTTTTTATTGAAATACAAACCATAGCATGTCTTATGTTCTAAACCTTAGGTAGCATATGCCTGTAGTCTCAGCTAATCAGGAGGATCATGAGTTTGAGGTCATCATGAGCAAAAGTTAGTGTGAGACCACATCTCAAAAATGAAATAAAACCAAAAGACTTGGCTAGAGGCCTGGCTCAAGTTGTAGAGCACTTGCCTAGAAAGCATAAATCCTTGAGTTCAATTCTCAGTAATGTCAAAAAATCCATATATTAATTGATTTATTCATTTAATTAACGAAAAATACATTTGAGCTCAGCACTGAGGAATGTGAAAAGAGAATGGGTGATAATGAGGTGAAGAGTAAATCATATAGATCTGGCTTCGTCCTCTTTGCTTCCTTCTTGGAAACATTGATTAAGTTCTCTGGGACTCTCAGTGTCCTCCTCTGGAAACAGAATGATAATATCTACCTTTTGGAAATTAAGGTAGATAACATCTACAAAGTAGGAATGAAAGATGCAGAGAAAACTCTTCATGCTAATTTTTTTTTTTCACTTACTGGGTAGTATAAATTCTAATGTCCTGTCTTACTCATGTTAGGTTTTCTTTCACACTTTCACCCAGAGCTGGCCTCAGTGACCCACACGGTAGAGAAACTTGGTCAACATCTTGTCAGTTAAGCAAGGTGGCCTTAGCAAATATTTGCTGTGTACTTAGAACTATAGCAGGAGTTTTTTGTTTGTTTGTTTTGTTTTGTTTTGTTTTTTCGGTACTGGGGCTGAACTCAGGATCTACATCTTGAACCACTCCACCAGCC